GGAACTTGCCCGTGATGTAGTATTATTGTGTGGTTGGCTACTAGATTAGCACATGTTCTCCTCCACCCTGTCCAAGTCCGTTGGAACTTGCATGTGAGTGTACTATTATTGGGTGGTTCCATCAGCTTGGGTAGTAGACGTTTTCCACACGATGCACGCTGACTTCGGTTCCATTATCAAAGATAATGGAGTACGGTAGTTCAAAACAAAGAAAAATAAGCAGCGCAATCAATATCCTTGGTTACTCCATGTTGCATTATTGGAGTGCAATTAATGAGATGCAACAGCAAGTTGGCAAGTCTCATGGGTTAGGGCTCTTTATTGAGTGGCGAGTAATAACAAATGAAATCGCACCATTACTTGAAAACTGCTGGATTCTGATTGATTTAATCCCTAAGTAAATCATGAAAATGATATTAACACTACGAAGCTCATACTGATATCTAAACATGTGAGCCCTAACTGAACATAGAACAATAATATCTATGAACGCAGTATATACGGCTATCACATGAACGAATAAAAGGGGATGAACAAATCGTATCCTCTCATAGGCCAGGCAAGGGTCGCGGCGGAGGCGGCAGCTTTGTCTGTAACCTTCTTCTTGGCGGCAACGTCGTCGGCCATGGCGTCGATGCTGGGGAAGTAGTGGAAGCAGTGGACGAAGATGAGGGCAAACCGGGAGCAGTCACGTTGATGATACACAAGTATAGGGGGTCAATCATAATCCTTCCGATAAGTAAGAGTGTCGAACACAACGAGGAGCATAAGGAAATAATAAGCAGGTTTCAGCAAGGTATTCTCTGCAAGTATTGAAAATAGTGATAATAGATAGTTTGGTAGCAAGATAATTCTTAATATGTAACAAGTAGCAATAGTAATAAAGGTGCAACAAGGTGGCCCAATCCTTTTTATAGCAAAGAACAAGCCGGAACGTTCTCTTATATAAAGCAAAGCGTTCTTGAGGACACATGTGAATTACCGTCTAGTCAGTGTCATCATGTTTAGTTGATCCGCGTTCGCTACTTTGATAATTTGATATGTGGGTGGACCTATGCTTGGGTGCTGTTCTTCCTTAAAACAATCATCACACTTATGATTACCCTTTCTCTCAAGCATCCGCAACTACGAAAGAAGAATAAAGATAAATCTAAACATAACATGAAACATATGGATCCAAATCAGCCTCTTACGAAATAACGCATAAACTAGGATTTAAACCTATCTCACTGTAGCAACCCACATCTACTTATTACTCCACAATGCCTTTCCTTAGGTCCAAAATATGATGAAGTGTCATGTAGTCGACGTTCACATGACACCAGTAAAGGAAGAACAACATACATATCATCAAAATATCGAACAAATACCAAATTCACATGAGTACTTATAACGAGACTTTTCTCATGTCCTCAAGAACAAAAGTAACTACTCAGAAATCATGTTCATGTTCAAGATCAGATGAGTGTTGAATATCATTAAGGATCTGAATATACAATCTTCCACCAAATAAACCAACTAGCATCAACTACAAGATGTAATCAACATTACTAGCAACCCACAGGTACCAATCTGAGGTTTTGATACAAATATTGAATACAAGAGATGAACTAGGGTTTGAGATGAGATGGTGCTAGTGAAGCTGTGGATGAAGATTGGACCTGTCACAATGAGAGGATCATTGGTAATGTTGACGGTTCCATTTCCCTCTCCTGGAGGGAAATTTGCTCGGCAGAATCGCTCACTGGAGAGAAAAAGTGCTCCTGCCCAGGTTCTGCCTCGAGACGGTAGCGCTTCGTTTTGAAAGTCCTCTCCTTAAATTTTTAGGGCAAATGACATCATATAGCAGAAAGAGGCACTAGTAGGGAAAACCCTAGTAGTAGCTCGAGTACCCTGAACTGTAGGCACCCCATGAGCGCCAACATGCCCACGCCCACGCACACATTGAGCGCGTAGCACTGAATCCCTAGCATGTACAACTTGCGGTTCACGAGGAGGAGGATGAGAGCCACCGACGACATGAAGCTCGCTGCGTTGCAGTAGAAGAAGGCCTTGTAGCGACGCGGGTAGTTGTCGAGGAGGACTGGGTAGCCCGCGCGGTGTCCAAGCTTATCATCGTCCGCTTGCCAGAAACCCCCTAGCGGGGTCAACCCGGCTTGGTAGGTAAGTGCCGCGGCTAAGATGGCGATTAGCAGCAACACCTGACGCTTGTCATCTAGCTACTCCTTGCTTACTGGTGGTCGCCGCGGCCGACATTGTCCTCATCCTCCCACAGGAAGAGCAGGAGCAGGAGCAAGAGTAGCAGTAGCAGGAGTAGAAAGAGCAGGATCAACCGTAGCAGGATCAGGATCATGAACAGGTCTTGTAACCAAGTTCTCCTTCTCTCCTCCTAACGCGATATGGACGACGGCATAAGAGAGGACAAGTCAAGCCACCACGACGACATAGATGGATGTGCTGGTATCCCTGGTGCACCTGGCAGCATAGGCGATGACGAGGCCGAGCATGTCCAGCACCATGGCTGCCACCAACGTGCGGCGCTTGAGCAGAAACTTACTCTGGACCATCATGACAACCACCAGAGATGTCACGAAAGCTGCTGAGTTGCTGTAGAAGAACACCTGGTAATGAGTAGGGTGCGTCCTTCATAGCATTGGCTGGCCGATCTTGTGGCCATCCAGCTTGTCTTGCCAGAGGCCGCCTGGTGGATCCAGTCCTACTTGGTAAGTGATGCTCACGGTGAAGCTAGTAAGTATCATAACAAAATAGCGAGTGTTTTTCAGGCCTGGGTCCTCAAGTGCATTGGCATCTGCATAATCAATCGGGCAATCATTCAATCTAGTATTGTTTTATTGTTGGCCTACCCCTATTTATAATTAATTAGATGTATTGTATTTTTCTATCAATTGCACGTACCTTGACATAAAGATAAGCATCTTATCCCCAATTCCTCATCACCTGCACAATAGTCTCATCTGACTTAGAGTTAGCAAAACCAGATCTTAAAAGAAAAGTGATTATGGCTCAGTCTAGAAAGAAATTGTTATTTCTAAGTCAACCGTTCAATTAAGATATCGTCATCTTTTAGCACTTGTTGCATAAACCCTTATGATTCGACTTCGAAATACCCTTTCTCTTTTTTCATAATATAGAGCATATAAATTTTTAAAGTGGAGTGCATATAGGTCCCTAGAATATTTCGGGGCGTCACTAGCTCCCCTAGCTATGAAAATCATCATCCAAATCCTTGAAGTGTAGTAAGTGTGTCATCCAGTCCAAAATCAGTTCAACACTAAAGTAGTTCAAGGACCTATATTTTGCCTAGCATGACACATTTATTGTACTTCGAGGACCTGGATGATGATTTTTATAGTTTGAGGACTTATGTGACATGCCTGAAAAAGTTCAAGGACCTACTGTGCATTTGTTGATTAAAATTTTGTAAAGTTCAACAAAAGAGAGATCAATATCTACAGTACCTAATAAATACGGTATTGCAATATATTTTACGATGGATCTAATGGTAATAATTTGGTGTTGTAGATGCTGATAGGTTCTGTTTGTGTCTGTGATGAGCAACTTGCACTTTTTAACCACTTTTTTCAATAGATTGCAATTTAAGGAAATTCTTATCAACTTAGAATTAGCAAAACTTTTTTCTATAAGTTAGTTTTCAAATTTGAGTTATATAGAACAAAATCCATATGCACTATATTTTGAAATGACAAAACGTAAAAGTTAATAAAAAAAATCAACACATAAACACGTAGAGTTTGTATACCTGCAGCAGCAGGACCAGTGCCTCTTAAGTAGTGCAACCATCCGGAGAACGAAGCACGCATGAGCTCGATTGGTTTCAAATGGAAGGAGTTTGAGAATAGGGTTTAGGGTTTTCCGTGGGGCAAAGCCTCTCCATGTTTTTCTATATATAACAATCAGCATACACAATTACATACGTACAAGGTACATGTACACGATACGCTAGACCTATCTTAACACTTCCCCTCAATCTGAACTTCTACTCTGTACAAGATTTAGATTGGTACTAAAACGGTCTAGCATGTGTCTGGTGGCGGGTTTAGTAAACACATCAGCCAGCTGATTGTTAGAAGAAATGAACCTGACCTCAAGAGCTCCAGAAGCAACACGCTCGCGCACAAAGTGGAAATCAATCTCGATGTGCTTGGTACGCACATGGAAAACTGGGTTGGCAGTCAGATATGTGGCCCCTAAGTTATCACACCATAGAACAGGAACTCGCTGCTGAGACACTCCAAGCACTTTGAGTAGTGACTCTACCTAGATGGCTTCAGCAGCTCCATTCGCCAAGGCTTTGTACTCAGCCTCTATACTGGATCTCGACACTGTCGGTTGTTTCTTCGAACTCCAGGAAATGAGGTTCGGTCCAACAAAGATGGAAAAACCTCCAGTGGATCGACGATCATCAGGACATCCTGCCCAATCTGCATCAGTGAAGATACTAATGCTAGTAGAGACAGCCTTACGAAACTTCAGCCCTGTGTGCAACGTTTCTTTCACATAGCGCAAAATCCGCTTAACAGCTTCCCAATGAACACCGGTGGGCTGTGAGAGAAACTGGCACACCTTGTTTACTGCGAACGAAATATCCGGACGAGTGAGTGTTAAATACTGTAGTCCACCAACAACACTATGTTACAGGAAAGAATCATCGGTACTGAGAGGCTGTCCAGACACTCGTGCAAGCTGATCGGAAGTAGACAACGGTGTGGAAGTAGGCTTACAATTCTTCATGCTCACACGGTGCAAAAGATCCAAGGCATACTTTCGTTGAGTCAATGTCATCCCCCCTTATGATGCTTCCAGACCAAGAAATTACTCCAACGGCCTGAGGTCCTTGATAGGAAAACTGGCCGCAAGGGAGTGAACAAGACCATCAACAGCACCTGGAGAAGATCCGGCAATGACAATATCATCCACATAGACAAGCATATAGATCTGAACATCACGATAGCGGAAGAAAAACAGAGATGTATCTGCTTTGGAGGAGACGAAACCCAGCTCGAGAAGACGGGCACTGAGCCGAGCATACCATGCATGAGGGGACTATTTGAGTCCATAGAGAGCGTGCTGTAGCATGCACGCATGCGAGGGAAACCGAGCATCCTCAAAGCCAGGTGGCTGCTGCATATAGACGGCCTCTAAGAGATACCCATGAAGGAAAGCGTTGCTGACATCAATCTACCGAAGACTCCAACCGCGAGACACAACAAGTGCAAGAACCAGTCGAACGGTGGCCGGCTTGACAACCGGACTGAACGTATCACCATAGTCAATGCCAAGCTGCTGGGTGAAACCGCGAGCGATCAGTCGAGCTTTGTACTTATCAACAGAGCCATCTGGACGGTGCTTGGTCTTGAAGATCCACTTGCTCCCAACAATATTGACTCCGCGCGGTCGAGGCACAAGAACCCAAGTCTTGTTGCAGTGAAGGGCATCGAGCTCATAAATCATCGCTATACGCCAGGCAGTCTCACGGAGAGCATCACGATGAGAAACATGCACCGCATGAAACGCGCGGTGACAAGGATCATATCGGATGGTCCCATCAATAGGGACAAGAGCACGAGGAGTATGATCGCGGGTGCGCGTAACCATGGTGTGTGCAGGAGTAGCTGGAGGCGTCGCGGTCGAGGGGGCAGGACTGCCCTCGACAGAAGGTGACGCGAGCTATGGCGGTGATGGTGGAGCAGCATCCTCGATCACCATGGCAGACGACGGCGTGTCAGCGCGCTGCGAGGAGACCGCCGAAGGACTAGGCGAAGCTTGGGTGCGTTATATTTGTGCAAACTAGGCCAGTAGGCGCACCCAAAAGTGCAAAGAAACTTGTAATCGGGTTGCACCTTAAGGAGACTATATATGGGTGTATCTTGTTGAAGAACAGGTGTGGGCATGCGATTAATGAGGTAGCACGCAGTAAGAAACGCTTCATCCCAAAAACGCAATGGGAGAGAAGAATGAGCCAGCAAGGCAAGACCTGTTTCTACAAGATGATGGTGTTTGCATTCAGCAATCCCGTTCTGCTGAGAGGTGTGCGGGCAAGACACACGATGAGAGATCCCAGTGTGTTGAAAATAACGGTGCAGTCTGTGGTACTCGCCACCCCAGTCCGACTGAACGGCTATGATTTTAGTGTGAAGAAGAATCTCAACATGAGCCTGAAAAGCATAAAACACTTGCTCAACGTCAGACTTGTGCTTGAGGAGATAAATCCAAGAGAAGCGAGAATAATCGTCAACAAAGCTCACATAATACTTATAACCTCCGGAAGAAGCAATACCAGGCCCCCAAACATCAGAATGAATTAACTCAAGAGGCATAGTGGAAACATGATGAGATAAATTATAAGGCAATTGTCGACTTTTAGCATGCTGACAAGCATCACACACTGAAGTCTGACGTTCAGAAGAACACACTAAATCATTATTCCTAACAATGTTTTGAACAATATTATTCGAGGGATGACCGAGACGCTGGTGCCACTGGGACGTGGTGGTCTTGACGCTGAGAGACGCTTGGCGGTTGGAGGACGACGCGCGACTAAACGGGATGGGGTAGAGTCCGCCATGACATCTACTATGAAGAAGGATTTTCTTCGTGGCCGTGTCCTTAACAAGGAAAAAGAAATGGTGAAATTCCACAAAAACATCATTGTCAAGGACAAGACGATAAACGGATAGGAGATGTTGATGAATATGTGGTAGATGAAGAATATTGCGTAAACGGAGAGATGAACCGGGTATAGTGGAATGACCAATATGCGAAATAGACAAACCTGCACCATTTGCCACTTGCACTTGATCCTTCCCGCCATAGCGCTCATGGAAGTGTAGACGATCGAGATCATTCGTCAGGTGGTCCGTCGCACCGGTGTCTAGGATCCAGTGCGGCGGCTCATGGGAGGAGGATGTGGACGTGGAGTTGGCGGCGCAGTTGTCATGATCATAGCGGCTGCGACAGTCGCTCGCCTCGTGATCTCAATTCTTGCATATCTGGCATCGGGGACGCCAGCGCCAGTTGCGGCTTCCCCCGTTGGCTCCTCCGTTGCGGCTGTTGCCACCATTGTGGTTGTTGTTGCGGCCAGGGGTGTTGTCCTGGCTAGGGCCGTAGCCGCCCGAGCCTGGCGGGAAGGAGCCGGCGGAAGGATGGCCGCCACTCGGGCGTCCAGAGTCGGGCGCGCGGCCGGAGGTGTTGTGGTAGACCGGCCGGGACGCGACATTGGCGGAGGACTGCCAATCCTCAAACTCTGGTTGCTGCTGCCGAAGGGCCTCGTAGTGAAGGACACTGGAGTAGGTTGCGGGAAACGTGATAGGCACGCCCACAAAGTTCTTTGAAGCAGCGATGGGGTTAAACGCCGAGCCGAGCCCGGTCAGCATGTAGTCGATGATATCATCATCGTGAAGAGGAGAGCCGGCGGCGGCCATCGAATCAGTGAGGGCCTTGACCTTCTGCACATACTCGCCGGCGGGGCGATCTCCTTTCCTCGGCGCCTGGATCTGGCGCCGGAGGTTACGCACGCCGGCGCTATTCTCGGCGGCGAACATGGTGTGCACGGCCGCCCAGACGGCGGCGCCGTCCTGCAGCCAATGAGCTGCACAGAGATCTCCACATTCATCGAACCGAGGAGATGCCCGAGGACCTTCTGATCCAGCGTCCACCACTGCTCGTACTCAGGGTTGGACACTGTGCGGGCGGCCTCGCCGGTGCCTGTCATCACGGTCGGCGCCGGCGCCCTGGCCGAGCCGTCGAGGAAGCCGTGGAGGCGAACTCCGGCGAAGTTGGGAAGGGCAAGGGCCCTCCACAACATGAAGTTACTGCGGTCGAGCGAGACCGCGATGGGCGGAAGGACGGGGGTGGGAGCCGATGTGGCGGGTTGGGCGATGACCGGGGCGGGCACGGAGAGGGTGGAGAGCGTGAGCGCGGAGGAGGGGGTCATCGAGGCTGCCGGGGCGGTGGACATCGCGGCGGCCGCGAGAAAACTGCGGCGGCGGCGGGAGGAGAGGCTCTAATACCAAGTTTGAGAATAGGGTTTAGGATTTTTCATGGGGCAAAGTCTCTCCACATCTTTCTATATATAACAATCAGCATATACAATTACATACGTACAAGGTATGTGTACACGACACGCTAGACCTATCTTAACAGAAGGCATAACTAAGTGCCAGCTGAAGGCCTACGCAAGCCGTAACCGCAGCGGCCAGGAAGATGACCTTTACGGTACTGTCAGTTTTCCTGCAGCTCCCAGCAGCATAGGGGCCCATGAGGCCCAGGAGGGCGACGGCGATGAAGCCGCCGTAGACTGCCAGAAACCGCGCTGAGATATTGCTGCTCAACTTCTCGTCCAGGAGGAGTGGGATGATGAACAAGGAGGCGACGAACGTCGTCGTGTTGCACACGAAGAAGGCCCGGTACCTCTGGAGCGTGCTATCTTCCATGATAGGGTCGCCGGCGAGGTAAAGAAGGCGGCCATCCTTCTGCTGCAGGGTTCTTGTCCGTGCGCGCCGCCGCTGCCCACTGGCGCGTCATGCATGTGGGCGGCCATGGCGTCCCAGCGGACCTCATCGACATAGTCCACTACGCCGCCTTCGGCTGCGGACGACGCGCGCTGGATGATGCACTCGCCCGTTTATGTACTCTCACCAAAAGCTTCCGGGTGCACGTCAGTGTGCTCGCCCCCCAGCTCCTCGGCATCCTCTCCCTTGGACTCGGGGTCGAGGACTACTACTCGTGGTGCCCGCAGCCGGAGCTGTCAGTGGTGTGGAGGCGCACACGGACGCCAGTGCGCTCTTCTCCATCCTCACGGGCGTGGGTTGGCGAGCACGCCAGCTTCTTGTGTCCACGGTTTCAAACTGCAGTTTCTATGCAAAGACGAAACATGGTCTGGATGGTGCTGGGTGGAAAAAGTGGGTAGTTTGGGTTGGTTTGGATTATGGTGGTTAAATTTTGGATTGGATTGGTCTGGTTGAAAGAGGCAGAGTCGTATGGTTTGGGATGGCTTCAATCTGGTTTTGAAACTATTCCCAGGTTTAGTTGCAGTAGTAGAAGCCGAGGTGCCGGCGGTAGTGGATGTCCCGTAGGATCGGGTCGCCGGCGAGGTGCCCGTCTGCCTGCTGCGTCCGCCAGGCCCCCCCGGGCAGGTTGAGCCCGGTGACGTACGTCGCCGTCGCCAGCCACCAGAGTGGTCAGCACTCAGCAGCATAAGCTGCTCTTTCAGCTGGTACAAAAAACTCTGGGTCTTCATCTTCGTTGGACGCAGCTTGGTCAGACGTCGACGGTTCATTTGGTGGTGGCGGTGTGGAGGTGGGGATATCTGTCATCTTGTAGTTGGGAGCTACTTGCATTGCATAGCATTGGGTTATATACATGTAAATGTCAACTTTGGAACACCTTAATTGCTTCTAGCTATTTTGTTTTTGTGACCAGACCACAAGACTTGGCGATCTTATACACATATATGTATTTTACGCAATGATGATTAGTACTTTGAGATTGACTAAAGACTGCAGTGCCCGGGGTCATATGCTCCTATACTTTAATATTATACTTCTTTAAGATAGATTATAAGGACTCAAGGTTGGCTTGTTGGATTGGGCAACTGATGTGATGCAAGTTGGCAAGTCGCATGTGCTGGGAATGATTAATCAATGAACCGGCCGGTAGTCTTAAATTTGTGATGATAAGAGCATCATCAAATTTGTTAAGTTTGTGTGAACCAACCTATGAATGGATTGTTAGGAGGACGGTGGTATGCAGGATCGCTCCCACACCTGTCACGCTCGTGATCGACCTCCTTAGCTGTGTATCGATCAAAAGGCAGGGCAGCAGAGCCCCCAACCGACGTGATTAGTTTTGTCCAGTATGTCCCCTCTCGATTCTCCACATGCTATGATACCCTAGGTGGGTAGGAGTATGCCGAGTCCGTATCACCTTCAGAACAACTGCAGCATTCGAATCTGACCTATCTACTCGACAATTCATCTGGGGACTCCGGGGTCACCAAAGAAGCCCCATATCCCTCTCACAATGAAAACTAAAGATCACAGTGCAAAGTCAAATCGCTGTTTTGGTCATTTTCATGAGTTTGTTATTACCTTATTAGGAGCATATGGAGAAGACCCCACTCTCTTTTTTTTTTGCGAGGAGAAGACCCTACTCGCGCGTTGAGATAGTTTAATGGCAAATGATCTTGCCATGTACCGTCAGTCTTTTCCATCCCAGCGAAACATTTTCGCAAATTCAGAATTTGTGGAAATCGATGTAGGAAGACGCTCTTTACCGCCTGAACTTATCTTGGAAGCATGTTTATACTGGGCCTAGTTGATATTCGTACGTGTTAACTCTGTAAGCCGGCCTGGATTCAATTCATACGCCAAATAATCTTGTCTATAAGGGGGCGCGATAACAAAATTACCTTATCACCTTAAGCGCGAACAATGTTGACCTCGCAATGTAGTAGGAAAGAAAATGAGGAAATGACAGTGACGGGTGCACGACCAAAACAACACAACAACTCGGTCCACATGGTGTGGTGATAGTGATATACGAGTTTTTCAGGCGAATACTACAGAAGCTATATATCCAAGAGGGAGACTAAGCGTTAGTTTGTTTGTTGGCTTGCCTGCGTGGTCGGCAACTGGGAGGATGTGCGCTTTTTGTATATGTATATGGCCACTATTGCTGCGTAGAGTGCAATGTAGGCTAGCACGGGGAGGAGGATGAATATGACGTTCCTGGACGACTTCCACTTCCTGGTACTTCCTGCCGCGTAGGCCACCAGGAGGCCGAGCATGTCCAGCAAAATGGCCGTGTGGACCGGCCAGAGCGGCCACTTGCGGTTGCTCGTCTGCTGGGACGGCAGGAAACGTTGTAGCCACTCGAGCTCCGTCAGCGTGAATGGCAGCAGCATGACGATTGCGATGACGGACGCCATGAATGAAGTAGAGTTGCTGTACAGGAAGATGTCGTACCGACGCTTGTTGATGTCGTGTAGGATCGGGTTGCCGGCGGAGTAGGCGGCGTTGTCCTCCTGCCACATGCCGCCCGGTGGTCTCAGCCCGGTCTGGTATGTCACACTAGCGGCCAGGACTCCTAACAGCATGAGGTACTCGAACTCCTCGTTTTTCTCCTGATTAGGGGCTTCAAGACCGCGTGCTCGTTGTCGCCTTGTTCTAGATGAATCATGATGGTTGTCGTTGTTTTTCATGTAGATGCGAATGTACCAGAAGATAGCTATCTGCAGGGGTATGGAGGCCGACACCAAGATCACCAGTGTCAACACATAGATGGAGGTCTTGAGATGGCGTGAGCTCCCGGCAGCGTAGGCACCCATGAGCGCAAACATGCCCACTGCCATGCACATATGTAGCGCGTAGCACCGTATCCCTGGCCTGTACAGCTTGCGGTTCACGAGGAGGAGGATGAGAGCCACCGACGCCATGAAGCTCGCCGCGTTGCAGTAGAAGAAGGCCTTGTAGCGGCGGGGGTAGTTATTGAGGAGGATCGGGTAGCCCGCGCGGTGGCCAAGCTCGTCGTTGTCCTCTTGCCAGAAGCCACCCGGTGGGGTCAGCCCGGCTTGGTAGGTCAGTGCCGCCGCCAAGATGGCGATTAGCAACAACACCTGACGCTTGACGTCGAGCTGCTCCTTGCTTCGTCGCCCTCCTCCTCCTAGTACTACTACTGAAGAAGTGGTAGAGACAGGACTAGCAGGAGGAGTAGAAAAAGTAGCAACAGAAGTAGAAGAAGCAGGAGCAGGAGCTGGTTCAGCAACGATGTTCTCCTTCTCGCCTCCTAAAGCAATATGGACGACGACGTAGGAGAGGACAAGGCAAGCCACCGCGACGACATAGATGGACGTGCTTGTATCCCTGGTGCTCCCGGCGGCATAGGCAATGACGAGGCCAATCAGGTCTAGCACCATGGCTGCCACCAATGTGCGGCGTTTCAACAGAAACTTGCTCTGGACCATCATTACGACCACCAGAGATGTCACGAAAGCTGCCGAGTTGCTGTAGAAGAACACCTGGTACCGAGCAGGATCTGTCGTCCGGAGCACCGGGTGGCCAATCTTATGCCCATCTAGATCATCTTGCCAGAGGCCGCCTGGTGGATCCAGTCCTGCTTGGTAGGTGATGCTCACCGCGAAGCTAGCAAGTACCATAACGAAAAATCGAGTATTTTTCAAGTCTGGATCCGCGAGAGCGCTGGCACCTGCATATCAAGAGGTCTGTATCAATCGATCAATCATTCAATCAAGTACTAGTATCATACTCTTCTAAACTACAGTTGATTAAGAAAAAGATGTGGTTAAACCTAGGTGTACTACACCCCCTATCCATGAACTTTCCCTTTTCTTTTTCTCCCAAACGAGACAACATATGGAATTCAAACTTCTTGAGTCAAGAAAGCACTAGAGTTACTATGCGTGGAAATCAACCAGTTTTTTTTATCTCACATAAACATATAAAACAATATTTTTTGAGTAAGCCATATTATTTGGAGTATTTATGGTGCATAAGAAAATTTGGAAGTTTTTTTTTTGACATATTTTAGTTCTAAAGTTCCGCTGGTCTGGAAAGTATGAACTCCACATGTTTTTGGTAATGTTCTCTGGTGAAAGTCAGCTGGGAGGGGATGGCAAGCAAACACTTTTTCCCGAAAGTTTTAGTTGCTTCGTGAGATCAAATGTGGCAATTTTTGAACAAAAAACGCCTTCTTCTGAAGAAACTGTCATGTTGTTCTGAGAAGTTGCCATCCCCTCACAAGTAAAACTGCCAGCAAAATTGTTCGAAATGCCACCCCCTCCAACCGAACGTTCGCCAGCTAAGAGGTTCCTATGTTTTATCTTTTGGGAGAAATGAAAGAGAAAACCTTCTATGTAAGATAGTTAGTTCGTAGCATAGATCTGAAGTCTGCGTTGGATGGTAGAAATAATTCACATAAGTTTGCAGCGCATACATGTTTAGAAAATCCACTCTGAGAACTGTGTTTTTTCTCAGCTCTAGCCATACCTAACTTTTTTGGGGTCTGGCGCCGATGAGATTATTTTATGTCTAAGTAAATGGTGATTTGGTCTAATCTAATTAATCTTGTCTCCATCTCCGCACGAACCTCACTAAGACATCTCACCAACTGATACATAAGATAATCGCAAGTGACATAGATTTAGCAAACTATATTTATCTAAAAGTCAGAGTGATTATGGCTTGTTATTTCTCACTAAACCGTCCAATCAAGATATTCTCATCTGTCTGTACCTATTGCACAAATCCTAATGTTCGTATTAAAGGTTTTCTATTACCGGTGACTTGCAAATCCCTCCACCTAAAAGATGGTGCATATAGATGTTGCTCTAAATCAAACTTTGTAACTTCTTATTTACTTTAACAGGAAAAAAAATCAGTAACTACAAAATCAAATAAATGCAGTTTGAAAATATTTTTCATGGAGGATATGATATTTATTTGATATGGTAAATGTTGATATTTTTCTCTATGAACTTGGTTGAAGTTTTCAAATTTTGACTTTGGACAGAAACTACATGTGGCAAAACCTTAAAGTTATGAGCATTTGCAACAAAGACTGAGTGTTGCAATTTCAAGGCAGGATTCCAGTTTGACACGAGAATTAGCAAAAGATAAAAGAGAAACCAACAAATTAAGATGTAGAGCAAGTATACCTCCGGGAATCAAGTTCCCCAACCATCCGGAGAAATTATCACACATGTTCTTGATTGGCCAGTAGAAGACATAGTTGAGAGCCAGCTGCAGGACTACGCAGGCAGGAACGGCAGCGGCCAGGGAGAGGACCTTGATGGTATTGTCAGTCTCCCTGCAGCTCCCAGCAGCATAGTCCCCCATGAGGCCCAGGAGCGCCACGGCGATGAAGCCGTAGAGCGCCACGAACCGCGCCGAGATGGTCCTGCTCAACTTCTTGTCCAGGAGCAGCAGGATGATGAGCAAGGACGCGATGAACGACGTCGTGTTGCAGACGAAGAAGGCCCGGTACCTCCGGAGCGAGCTATCTTCCATGATCGGATCGCCGGCGAGGTGAAGAAGGCGGGCGTCCTCCTTCTGCTGCAGGGTGCTGCTCCAGAAGCCGCCAGGTGGATTCAGCCCGGCGGCGTAGGAGATGGTGACGGCAAAGGTCGCCAGCAGCATGAGCACCTCGATCTTCTCCTTCTCTTGGTACCCGTTTGGGTATCTAGGGGTGGGAGCTTCGCGGCGGAGGGGCAAGCAGAGGTAGCATACGAAAGCGTACGTGATGTAGGCCAACACAGGGAAAGCGAGCGCCACGACCCAGATGGTGGCGAAGGTGTCATGGCAGGTCCCGGCTGCGTAGGAACCCATGAGGCCAAGAAGGTCGAGCACCATGACCACCCGCAGCACCACCGACCAGGCCGGGCTGTCCCTGCGCAGCATGACGAGTATGAGGCAGACCACGACCGACGAGGCAAGCGCCGTGCCGTTGCAGTAGTAAAAGGCGAGGTACCGACGGTAGTGGATGTCCCGGAGGATCGGGTCGCCGGCGAGGGGGGCATGCCCATCCGCCTGCTGCGTCTGCCAGGCTCCCCCGGGCAGGTTGAGCCCGGTGACGTACGTCACCGTTGCCACCAGTGTGGTCAGCAGCAGAAGCTGCTCTTTCAGCTCGTACAATTTTGAGTCTGAAATTGAATCTATGTTGGGCGTCACCATTTGATTTGTTTGTGGCGGCCGGGGTGGAGATGGGATATGCATCATCTTTCTAGATGGGAGCTCCTTGCATTGCATAGCATTGGGTTTTATACATGTAAATGTCAACTTTGGTACAAATTAGTTGCTTCTAGCTAGTTTGTTTGTGTGACCTGACCACAAGACTTGGCAATTTTATATCCCCAATGTCTTTTTCCGAGTCGGGAGTTGGGACACATGATCCGACGACGACCTCACTTGTCCTGCAGTTTTTCAGAAATCACGTTCATCTTCCTGTCTCGCGCGGTTCACTGTATTTTACACAATGATGATTGACTAAAGATTGGAGACCATGTACCTGTCCTTATAGAATTGTTGCTCAAGGTTGGCTTGTTGGAGTAGACAACTAATGAGATGTAAGCTGGCAGCAGGTCACATTTGCTGGGAATGATAAATCAACAGGTCACATTTTTGTTTTCCACACGAAGCATGCATTCTCCGGGTTCCATTGTCAAAGATAACGGAACATGGTAGTCATAAACAAAGAGAGAGAAAAGACAACAAAAAATCAATATGATGTCGTCAAAAGCCGAGGTCATGCACAACTCATGTACCTAAGAAAGAGTCGTCATTCCCTGTTGCATTATTGGAGTAGGCAATTAGTGAGATGCATGTGGGCAAGTCTCATGGGCTGGGGAATTTTATTAAGTGATACATAACAACGAATCACACAATTAACTGAGAACCAACATCTGGTTGGATGGTTAGGAGGTGTAGTTGTACGCCTACGGCATAAAGTATCAAGCTTTAGGGCTACCATTTACTTACTTGGGTGAAATTTAACTAATTATTTTGTCAGTACATGTGCGTGTGTGTGTCTATATATTATTGGTTTGTCATTATTACTTCAGTTATATTGTGCTAATCCACTATCATTCTCATTCACATTAGAAATGATGAGAGACATTCTTCATTCCCTCGTGTGTTGGTAATTTTTATTCGATTGATAGGTAAATACAAACCAACAATTTGGTACCTGGTAGTATATTTTATTCCGTAGTAAAATAGCAAGAGCATCTCCAACAACTTTGTACATGAGTGAGCAAAAGTCCTCTTCTGCTACCGAACAGTAAAATCAAAACGAATGAAAAAAAATCATAAAATTCTGAATATTTTGGTGCAATCTTTGACAAATGATTGTATGCTTGACAAATTTCATGAAAAAAATGACATTCATGGAGCTCATGGCAAACAAGAATTAGTACTCCATATGCTTCAAAAAATAGCATTTTTGGAGGATTGATTTTTTTGCCACGACTTGCATGAATGTACTTTCATGATAAAAAGTCAAGCACACAATTTTTTTTTTCAAATTTTAGCACAAAAAAATCAGTTTTTTTTTACAAATTGTTTTGATTTTACGGTTCACCAGCGAGCATTTAAGCTCGGGAGTAGATACTTCATGTGTG